GAGCCTACAGGTTTCAAAAAGGAAATAGATGTCGGGAATAATTTAGACATTTTAGGGTAGAAATAGTACGGTGGGAGATGTTGGATATATAATTTTTCCAGGAAAGCATTTGATCAAAGATCATTCCAAGGTTTTTGATATTTTGATAAAAGGATAGAATTTGATGGGATTATCATGTAGGAACAGATTTGGGATATTAGGAACAGTTTTAAGGAGGTGATTGGAGCCTATTAAGATTGACTTCATCTTTCTGCATTGAAATTCAACTTGTTAGCTCTCGCCCAGTCACAAATCCTATCCAAGTCTTCTTGAAGTTTTTCTGTGGCTGATAATAGATCGGTGGGCAGAAAGTACAGATATATTTGGAAATCATCTACATAGATATGGTATTGGGAGTGATGGATCAGGAGGGGAATGTCATTAATATAAATAGCAAAAAAAGTAGGAGATAGAGAGGAACTTTGAGGGACACTACAGGAGAGGGGGAGGGTTTTAGATGAAGATTGACCTGGGACCGATTTGAACCAACGCAGGGTACTGTTGGATAGAGGAAGATAGTGTAATTCAGTGAGGAGGATATTATGGTCAACGGTGTCAAACGCTTTGCAAAAATCTAGAAGGATGAGGATAGCGAGACTAATGAACAGTTGCGTGAGATTTAAAATTGGTGCCCCGAGATACTCCCATGTCTCTCACCACTACACTGAGTTAAAGTGGCTCTTTCCCGTCATTCGAAGACAATATTTTCTAGGTACGTTCCTCTATCATATCATCAACAATCATCGTCTTTCTTACGCCTACAACCTTCTTCAATTCAAGTCCTCAGTCCACTCCTTTTCCACAAGATCTCGACCTTCCGACCTTTACATCCCTTCTCACAGATTTTCCTTATTCCAAAACTCTTTTATTGCTCGCTCTGTTAATTTTTGGAATTCCCTTCCTATCAAAATTCAGCATTCTTCATCCCTATCTACATTCAAAACCCTCCTATTCCTATTCCTGTCCCAAAAACAGTCAGATACCAAATAACCTTTCATGTAAAATTACATATTATACATAATGATGTATCTACATATAGCTCATCACTTAAATACTTATCAGATTCGACTTTCTTTTTTTTCAACAGAAACACAGAGTTTACTGCTAAGAAGAATGTAATGTATTTTTAATTTTTTCTAAAAGTGTATATTTATATTTTACATAATTTTAAGTGTCTTGGCAAAGTTTCAAGAGTTTTGTATATAAATTTTTTTATTTTATTTTGTATATAGTATGTATAACTAATATTTTCTTTACTTATTTATCTTTACCTTTACTTTTTATGTTTGTTTTTATTTGGCCAGATATAACATTTTAATTTTGTACTTTTCTGTTATTCTAAAGGAACTTTGTCCCAGAATAAAATTATTTTCTATTCTATAGCAAGGTTTTGGTGTTCAATGGAGGTTTGGAGGTCATAGGTTATTTTAAGGAGAGCGGATTACATTGAGTAACCAGGTCGAAAGCCAGATTGGAATGGGTTCGTTCTAACAGCTTTGAAAGGTTGGAAAGGAGGGAAATAGGTCGGAAGTCGTGCAGTGAGGTAGGGTTGGGAATAATGTTCCACAGTACAACTAAAATTATTAAATATGGAAGTTTAAGTAATCAGTAATCATGGATGCAATAAGCCATACAATAAGCCCATGATACAATTAAAATTATTAGATATGGAAGTTTATGTAAGCAATAATCATGGATGCAATAAGCCATACAATAAGCCCATGATACAATTAAAATTATTAGATATGGAAGTTTACGTAATCAGTAATCATGGATGCAATAAGCCATACAACAAGTCCATGATACAATTAAAATTATTAAATATGGAAGTTTACGTAAGCAGTAATCATGGATGCAATAAGCTATAGTGCAAGTCATAAGTTGCAGACTTTATAACACTCCCTCTATCCCGTCTTTTTTTCATATATCAGTCTAAGAAGAGATTTTATCAACAGTCGCAGAAACAACTTGTTTTATTTAGCTTGTATTTACTGTTCTGTTATGGGCATAAACTTTTTAAAATTAGTAAGTGTGTATTTATATCACAGACAGCTCCTGAAAGATTTCTGAGACAAACAGTTATGGCTATTGGGGTATAACTAATGTAAATTTGAAAAATAGATGAACCAAGTATCTTCATCAAAAAGCAAAAACTTGAATTCAGCCCAGAAAAGGAAAAGATGTGAGCCCACATCTTCACATCACAAATATAATCAATAAGATTATAAAAAGTCTGATCAAGAAGATAATAAAAATTCTAATAACCATTACAATGTCAAAATCACCAAACCTAAATTTTCACCTATTGTTGTAAATACAACATTTAAAAATCACAAAGCTATATAGCAATAAAAAAAACTATGATCTCCATTCATTGCAGAAATTTCCATTGATGATGCTGTAGGCTTCCATAAATTTTTTATGTTAGTCAGATGTAATAATTCAAAAGAATCTATGTACCAGGAAGCACTGTTGTTATTATTGTTTGTAACATTGGACATCAGACATGCTAAGAAAGCATTTCGGTCTTTCTTTTCTTCCTGGGATTGTTCATTTTTACTGCAGTTCCATTTAAATATACAATTTGCATGAAATGTCCCATGCAGTTGTATTCATTGAAGGTTATTTGATGGTTTGTTTTGATTTTGAGAGTTCTTATGAGCGCTGTTTGGGTGAACTGGTTTCTTACCAGAAAATAACGCTGTACACCATGTTGAAATGGACTATAGTTAGTCCTAACCTCTTGCAATAACTTAATTTGCTTGTATCACCTGTTATTATGATTCCCAGGCTCCCCAAGGCCATTATCATTGGCTATACTCTTCCAGTAACCAAGATAGGAATAAGGAATGGAGTACCAATGCACTTGTCGGTAATGTCAAAGTTTACTTTCTGTAGGCATTGAGCCATAGAAATTATTTCGTTTAGATACTCCTCCATGGAACTGCTATCTTCTAGCTTGGTAAGGATTAAATCTCGTAATAATCCCACCTTTCTTGAGAGTCCATTCTCTTCAAACAATGACTATATGATATCCCATGCTTGTTTGGTAGTAGAACATGTTCCAATATAGTGGATGAGGTCCGTCTCGACAAATAGGGAAATATTCCAGAAAGCCTCCCTATCTTTTTCAGCAGCTTGTTCCGAATTTAACTTTCTACCCACTAAGTTCCATTGATCTTTTAATTAAAGTGAGGCCTTCATACAGAACTTTCAAGTAAAATAATTCTCTCTATCACTTTCAACTTTTCTACGAACGATAAGTTGGGCACCATATTCTAATAAGCCTAAATACTGTAATTATTCACGTTACAAACAGAATATGGACAATTCTAACCTATTTGCACTAATCTGGACCCATAATCATATACCGGCAAGCACAGCCGGGGTTGATCTGGACTCAACAAAGGAGGAGGCCAATGGTTACATTATAACAATGCTGCAATAATTTATATTTCTAACAATCTCCTCTCATATTTTCTTTTATAATTGAAATAAAGGAAGGAGATGGTCCGGGGTGGCGGTCATAGATAGCCTAAATAGTGGCAAAACTATTTTATTAAAAGCCTTTTAATAAAATATAAAATAGTTTTGCCACTATTTAGCCTATTTATGACCGCCATCCCAGACCATCTCCTTCCTTTATAATACAACGGCCAACTATTAAATATTCAATATAATTTAAATAGCTTTAATTATCAAAACATCATTCAAAGTTTATCTTTTTTTCAAACACTATTTCATTTAAAATTCTTTATTAACCAAAATTGATTTAATTATTTTATTTTATAAAAGTTTGTTTCAATTATTACATTATAAATGATTTGTTAAATTGCAGGATGAATGATGTTTTGATAAACTGAGGAGAATAAGACTTTTTGTGGAGATTTGGAGGAAAAAAGAAATAAAACAAAACATTTAATATTTAATTAAACAATTACTACCAGAAATTAGTATTCTATATACATGTATAATTTTAATTTTGTTTTTAGAAATAATGTTATTTGTGACTAATGTTTTGTTTTTGAAAGGAAAAAAAAATTTTGAACATGGATCTTGGAGCATTAAATAGTATTTTTGAATGTGTATAAAATGTTTTAACTGTAAAATAAAAGGTGTGATATTAAAAGATATTTTGTAACAACTTAATCACATATTGATTAAATATAATAATTACAAAACAAAATCTCACAAAAAAAAAAATTAATAGCCTAAATAAGAGTGTTTATCATATAGTATTTTATGTTCTAAAACAATAAAGATCAAAGGATGTTTAAATTGATATTTGAAAATATTGAAATTGGGTCCAAATCATGATGGAATGAATCAAGAAATAAAAGGATGTGAAGTATAGTGAGTTTTTAATTGACCTCCTCAATTCAAAGATATACAGATCTGTGGAAAGAAAAAATATTTAGAATAGTGAATATCCAACTCATAGACCATATTTGTTATTAACATAACAGAACAGTTAAACTTGGGACTAGATTAGAATGTCTAGAAACTCAATGGTACACCTAGGCATGAGAGAGTTCAGGGATAAAATTAAAATGATTAATACTTAACAAAAGGAAATAATAACAACACCTAATTTGTGGGTGATAAATATTCAGGACGCAGTCTTTTTTAAATTTTTTATTTTATTTTTGCCAACGTTTTTTTTGAAGTACATGAACAACCTCAGTGCTCAAACCACGCCCTGAAGATGACCCACATGTTTGGGTTGAAACGTTGGCAAAAATAAAAAATAAAAAAAAAATTTAAAAAAAAAGACTGCGTCCTGAATATTTATCACCCATGATATGTAGAACAGTCGACTAACTTCCTTCAAGAAACACCTAATTTGGTTACCAAACCACAAATTTAAGATTACAAGCAGTTCATATTAAGTAAGATCTTTTATTGAGGCCCTTTACCAAGTATAGTGTTCACATAAATCTTTATTTAATTGGTCATTTTACCTTGACAGTAATTGTTGGCAGTTCCAGACATTGGTTCAATTGAATAATCAGAATTCATTTTCAGCTTTCTAGACTTAGTTATTTCTCCCATAAGAACCAAAAAATCTGGAATAGATAACATTATAATGTGAACCAATTTCTTATATCATGTATTGTTTCATTTGATGTTTTTTTTTATTATGCATTTGTAAATGATTTTATTTATGATAATTAAAATCCAAGGTAATCATAGCATTCCACACTTTCAAATAAAAATTCAAATATAGTACAATTTAGATTATGCAGAACCTTCCGGATTATCCAACATGGTTAGATATTTGAAAGTAAGTTGAATAATCAAATGTATCCTTATAATTATTGCATTTGATTACCTAAACTTTACCTCTGTTATACACCTGGATTTCATTAACTAAAACTTACCTTCACTGCCATGCAATTAAGATTTAGCACCAAACAATAATAATAACGTATGACATATATCTTTTTTTTTTTAAGCTTATTTATTGAAACATATTACAATCTGTCTCAGGGACATTAATAATAGTGTTCACAGATCACATTCACACTCTATGTACAGTAAATAAAATAAATTATACAGACCAATAATATATATACAATAAATAAGAATAAAATAACCTAAAAATAAATAAATAAAAAGAACACATGCACACCTATATACAATATTTACAACTTGGCGAGAGAACTCCAAACCAGACTTGTCCCTCCAACTGTGGAGGGAAAAGTATGACTCCAGGAGTTCCCTGCACTCCTCTCTCAACCGCGTCACTAGGGCTAAACCCAGTGGAGATTGAGCAAGAGTGCTTTAGCCACATACACTCATGTCGTGAGTGGAGAATCTGGCCATTGCCAGAACTCCAATATTTACAAACTATAAAAGATCGCGGGGCCACTGCCGTTTTAACCTCCTTGGAGGATTATATGGATGGGTGGAGCTGGATAGAGATTTTGCAAAGGGATTTGGATGATGGGTAAGGTTCTGGTGGAATTTGGAGAATTTTGCTGGAATAAGGTCTAGGACAAATGGGATATTAAGGTCATGGTGTAGGGTTTTGTTGGTTACATAGAAAGGAGCATTGACTATTGTTCGAAGGACTTTTGATTGGAAGGATTGGATGCGTTTGATGTTAGTAAATTTTGCTGTTCCCCACAGTTCAAGTCCGTAAGTCCAGATAGGTTTCAGTATTGTCTTGTAGATTAGTAACTTGTTTTCAATGGAAAGTTTTGATTTTCTGTTTAGTAGCCGGTATAGTTGTCCGTATCGTCGGTTTAGTTCCTGTCTTTTAAGTCTAGTATGAAGGTTCCACGTTAGTCGTCTGTCTAAGAGAAAGCCAAGGTACCGGACTGTGTCTGAGAAAGGAAGCTGAATGGAATTAAAGTGTATTGGTGGGCAGGAACTGCGTCGGAGCGTGAAGGTGATGTGTTGGCATTTGGATTCGTTTACTTTAATTCACCATTTATTACACCAGTGCTCAATCAGAGAGAGGTGTCTTTGAAAGTTTAAGGATGCTATATCAGGATCTGAGTCGGATGATAGAATGGCGGTGTCATCAGCAAAAGTTGCCAGGTAGGTATCGGGATGGACAGGGATATCGGCGGTAAAGAGGATGTAAAGGACGGGACCCAATACGCTACCTTGAGGAACACCTGCCTCAATTGGATAGCAATTCGATAATTCACTACCGCAGCGAACTCGGAAGGTACGATCTGAGAGGTAGGAACGGAGGACAAGGTACAAGGACTGAGGAAGATAGGTTTTCAGCTTGGAAAGAAGCCCGGCGTGCCATACCCGGTCGAAAGCTTGAGCTATGTCCAGAAATGCACCCGAGCAATATTGCTTGCTTTCCAATGCTGCGGAAATATGATCGACCACTCGGAGTCCTTGTTGGACTGTGGAGTGTTGTGAACGGAATCCGAACTGATGTGAAGGAAAATTTTGGGATTCTATAAAGGGTAGGATTCGTTTCAGGAGGATCTTTTCAAAGATTTTTGAGAGAATCGGAAGTAGGCTAATTGGTCTGTAGGACGTTGAGGTGTTGGGAGGTTTGCCTGGTTTCGGAAACAGGATAATAGTGGAATGTTTCCACAAGAGAGGAAAGTGGGTGGTTCTCTCCAGGAGAACGAAGAAAGTACAGAGAGAACCACCAGAGAAGAGAGTAAAGTCCAGTTCAGTTCTCTCCTCAAGTCCTTAGGTCATAATTTCATCCTGGGTGGAGATTTAAATGCCAAACACCATCAATGGGGTTCTAGAACCACGAACTCTCTTGGCAGAACATTGTTATCTGCACTCAATTCCCAACGGTTCAGTATCCTTCCTCCTAAGTCACCTACCTACTGGCCCACAGATCCTAACCGCAATCCCAATATCCTTGATTTTTTCATCCACAGTGGCTTAGGTCCCCTCAATCATTCCCTTACCCGTCTTGCTGAACTATCCTCAGATCATAGTCCATTATTACTCCAATTATCTCTTGCTCCTATTCCTAAGTCTTCTTTACCGTCCTTCATCAGAGGCCCAGTTAACTGGAAACTCTTTCACCAAATCCTATCCGATAAAAATTGACCTCAGAATAACCCTAAAAACCCCAGATGACCTTGACAATGCCGTACACCTTTTCACCACCACTATCCAACAAGCAATCTGGACTTCCTCTCCAAACCACTCCTCAAGAACTCCCAAGAAAAATAAGTTACCTCAACACCTCATAGACCTAATCCATACCAAACGCCGCGCCAGATTGTTATGGCAACGTACTAGGGACCCCATCGATCGTCGCTCCTATAATTTTTACAGTAAACAATTAAAGCAGGAATTGGCCACCTTCAAATCCCAATCCTTCAACTCCTACCTTACTTCCCTCTCTGTTCATGACAATTCCCTATGGAAGATCACCAACAAAATCCTAAAATCCCATCATATTTCCCATCCCCTCCGTCAAAGCGATGGCTCCTGGGCAGCGTCTGATGAAGATAAAGCTGAGGAATTCGCCAGACACCTCTCCAGAACATTTACCTCTCATCCGGAATCCAACCTCACCCATACCACAACAGTAGAAGAATTCCTTACATCACCCATTCCACTTTCCTTGCCACCTAAAGCAGTTAATCCTTCTGAGGTCAAACATCACTTACAAAAACTTCCTCTCCGTAAATCTCCTGGATACGACCTCCTTACCTCTCAAAACCTTCGACAACTTCCTCCTAAAGCTGTTATATTTCTCACCTATTTATATAATGACATATATCTATGAATATAATTATTAATATTAGAAAAAATTATGATTTGATCAATTAAGAACAAGAACCATTACTTAAAAATATATTTACTAAAAACCTTTCCACCTTTGATACTGGAGGTATGTACCTGAGTCAGTTTGTTGACAAAGTAAGAAAATTATCTCAAGAACTGATTCTAAAAATAAACAGTTGATTTTGGGACAATTTCTTCTTTGAGAAAATATAATATGATTCAAAACTTCAGCGTATGAATGAAGTAATTCAGCACATTCTTGTCGTAAAACATCAAAATTCAGTTCCTCAAATACCTTGAAACTAAGACAAATTTCTCTCCATTCCTAAGAAATAAGAACATTTTTTATAAATATAAATAGCAGAATCCAAATTACCTTTTAGAAAAAAAAAAACTCAATGAGCACATGTTTTTAATAATTAAATGTAAATAATTTTTAGTAAAGTTAACTCTATTCTAATGTGTAATAAAAGGTTTGATTACTTAGGAGTCCTTGTACTTCTGGGATGAATTTAAGAAAATACTAAATAAGTGTTACTATGAGAAAAAAATATAGACAAAAGCTAAAAATTAATCAGTATTATTTCTAATGTCTATTGCTCATGATGGTAAACAAAATAAAACAGTTTTTAGTTATTATTCCTTCTATATTAGAAGATGATTTGGAGTGCAGACAGAAATGCAATTACACACAATTAAGAACTCTAATTTTATTGTGTGGCGAGATTTTAGGCCTTGATCAGGGGTGAGGAAAAATAAGATAACAACCAATATGATGGTGACAATATAACAAAAATAAAGAATAAAGAAAATAATAAAACAGGGTAACAGTATAAAGAAATTAAGCATATGTTGTTATGATGTACTAAATATGTGTGTTTAAATAATAAGATATGAATACAATATTATACTGGTATGGTAAGATAATCAACACAATGTTTTAACACATAGCCTTGGTCATCATTCAGAACTGCACCTTATTAGCCCAGTAAAGTTAGTGAAAAAAGAACTTTACCCCAAAATTAAAAAAATAAAGATGAAACTTGTCAGAAATTGTTTATTACCCTCCTCATAATGACTGGTAAATATAGACTTAAAGCTCATCAAACAAGGAAGTATTTTTGAAAGTGTGGTATCTTCAGTCCAGTTGGGAGGTTATAAAAAAATCGTGAAGAATCCTTAATTTTATGAAAAACCGATCTTACCATAGTTTAATTGCTTAAAAGTCCCCTTTATATAGTTTTAAAATATACAACATTTACTTGTATTTAATCTAGTTTACTATGAAGGTATTTGTTGTGACCTAAATTAAACATTTTTTTAGTTATTGCTTTTTATTCAACATAAAACGTGGTTGGCTTAATTTTTTATTTAGAAATATAATAATCTATCACGTGGACAGTAATTATAGTGATATATGAACACATTCATACGATATAAACAGAAAATATATATGGCTTAAAAATTACAAAAATAAATTTTCTGGTTCTTTGTATGTAATAAGATCATGATTTAAGGTAAATTTTTATCATTTTTAATGTATTCTATTACATATAATCAGAGGACGGGATGGCCAAGCAAGTTGGGGCGTGGGTGCCCCAGAGTGCCCGGTTCTGAACGTTATGGGTTCGATTCCCACCTGGGTCAGTTACTTTTCCTTTCTCAGCGGCTCCGGATCATGACATTCCCACTCTGGCAAGTACACGGCGGCAACCTTAAAGGTAGCCGTCAGAGGTTGGCAAAAAGGACCACTATAGGCCCACTTGCCGGACTAGTTCCCCCCACCCAGTACTAGTACCAGTACACATAATCAATTATATGAAATCAATGTCAGTCTAAACTTCATATCATTATCACAAAATTCCTCATTGATTATTATCGAATATAATTCTGTTCTCAATGACTTTTTAGAATCATTAAAAGAAAGAAACTTTGAATGATAGTTTGAAGGATCGAAAATGTTAAAAAATGAAAAGGCATTGTCTACTATGAACAACATTAATTTTGTGGTTTGAAGTAATTTTTGCTATAAGTGGAAATACAATAAATATAATCTCATGAATATCTCCGCAACCAATTATTTTATCAAAAAAATATATAGGAACATTTTTATAGAGATTTTAAAGTTCTTTAATTATGTACTGAATAATCTTTGATAAAAACCTCACAGTTTTTCAGATATTCTTAAAAATATATAATTTTTCTGTCCTTCTTTTCCTCCCTCCATCAAAACCTGACACGGTATTCTTTGGGACTTTTTACCATTCATTATGAGCAGGGTAATAAACAATTTCTGACAAGTTTCATCTTTATTTTTTTAATGTAGCAGTCAATCAGTAATTTTACTGGTGAGGATTGTATACTAACGGTAACAGTATACTAACACACATACAGTACACAATTGCAGCACACTATACACAAGGTCACATACAGTATACACCCAAAGGTCACCTTCCCTAGGAAGCAGCTCTGGTTGGGAATGCAGGTCTACATGCATTGAGATGGCGGCCCCGTCAGCAAACTACAGTACAGAGAGAGAGTGGATAGCCCCACTACCTGAAGCACCTAATATCGTGAAACCCATACCATCCTCGGATGTGATCAGTCTTAAAGGAAAATGACTAGGCACCCCGCATAGGATTCTTAACTTTGGATTTTAGAACACATTGTCTCTTTATTGACCCGGAGCATTGAAGCTGCTCTTAGATCAACTTGACAAGTATAAGATTGACATAAGAGATTAGATTGACTGGTCAAGGAATTCTTGAGAAAAGGTGTGCCACTCCATCTACTACAGCTGTCATGAGAGTCGGCATGAATTCGGTACAGGATTTGTCGTAAAGGGAAGCTACAGGCAGATGATAATAGGATTTAAACCAGTAAGCCCAAGAATCTGTCTCATAAGAATGCGCGGAAATTTTTATAACTACAGCATCCTAAGTGTACAAGCCACCACAGAGGTATCTGCCGATGAAGAAAAGGATGCCTTCTATGATCTTTTGGAAAGGACTTTGGATGTATGTCCTAGGTATGACATGAAAGTAATCGCTGGAGATTTTAATGCCAAGTTAGGAAAAGAACAAATATACCAGCGGATAATTAGTAAATTCAGAGGAGCAAATATTGATTCGGACCACTTTCTGAGCACAGCACAAGCGATGGCGAAGATCTGCTCAGTAAGGAATTCGAAAGCTGCCGATAAATCCAAAAGATTCAATATTAGAAAGCCAAAGGATGCACAAACTCAGCTTAATTACACTGAAGTATTAGACATCAAAGTACACCAGGGAAGCATTAACAGTTATGGAGCAATAATGGTAGCAACTGAAGAAGTAATAGGGCTACACGAGAAGGTACTAAGGTCACCCTGGTTCAATGATGAATGCAGAGCAGCCACGAACAGCAAGAACAGTGCGTACGAAATAATGGTTAGGACAACCACAAGGAGGTCCATTGATGAATACCGACAGAAAGTGGTTATATTGCAAAAAGAAATGACAGAGGCAGAGGGTAATCATGGATGCAAACACATTTACATTTACTCCATACCATTTACTCTAACCGAGATGTATGGTTAGAGTAAATGGTGACAGATTCGAGGAATTTTGTGCAAGTAAAGGGCTCCGACAGGGGGATGTGCCAGCCTGTATGCTGTTTAACCTAGCACTTGAGAGGGCTGTAAGAGATGCTGGTTTACGAGAACGAGAAGGAAACATATTTACCAGGCTTGTTCAATTGTTCACCTACTCAGATGATATAGACATTGTGGGATGCTCTGTACAGGCCGTGACTGATGCTTTTCTGGCACTGGCTGGTCCTGCCAGCAGACTTGGACTAGAAGTTAATGAGTCAAAAACAAAATATATGGTAGCAGATGAAATCCCCATACGAGGCGAGACAGTCACTATTGGGATTCATAAATTTGAGAAGGTCTTGGAGTTTATTTATCTGAGATCTGTGGACATAATGTCAAAAATGGACAAAGAAGTGGAGAAAGACAAATGGAAGGGGAAGCAAGGCCATATGTTAAGGAGGAAGGTAAACAGTCAGCGAGTAAAGAGGATCAAGACTAGAGAGAATGGATCAGCCAGCTAGGAAAGATCATCGAGACGTACAGAGAGTGACAGGTGACTAACAAATAGTGAGTGTCTAGACGAAGACAGGAAAACAGAAGATTGTTAACGTTTAATACAGTAAGCCTGCAGCATCAATACAGAGGAAGATTCAATACGAACCAGGGTAAGTGCAAACAAATAGTGACAATTAGAAAGTGCTAAGAGTAGACCCCGACAAAACTGAATGGAAATTCATAAATGTTATATACAATTAATGTGTGCTTTTATATTATATATTTGAGGAATGTATGTTTATTGTCTCAACCCAATCTGAGAAATAATTTGTAATAATTTAAAATAATTGTGTAAAATAAATATAATTTGGTTCAGAAATTGTTTGTTTACTTTTCAAAGGAAACGTAACCTACCAATATATATATATATATATATATATATATATATATATATATATATATAATGACTAATAAGGCTTAGCGAACCTGAAGGTTCGATGCCGACACCACCAATCGCTTGTTACACACCTCCCTCCACCGTTCGCCGTCCAAACCCAGTCCCTTCAGATCGGCTTTAATGCAATCTTCCCACCTTCGCTTCGGTCTACCCCTCGGACGCTTACCATTCGGCACAGCAAATATTAACCTTTTATGAATTCTCTCGTTACTAAGCCCAACAACTTTACAAGCCCATTTGATTCGCCGCGATGAAATTACATCAATTATATTACCCGGATACAGCTCACGCAATTCGGCGTTGTGTAACCGTCTGAACTCTCCGGTTAACTCATCCTTCTTCGGTCCGAATATTCTACGCAATACTTTATTTTCAAAAACCATTAAGACGCTGCTCATCCCTTAATGTAAGCGGCCAAGTTTCGCATCCATAAAGAACTGTAGGCAAGATAATTGTTTTATAGATTCTAATTTTTAAGTTCCGGGACAAGAGGCGCGAACTAAGTAGTTTTGTCACAGAAAAATAACAAGCATTTCCCGCCTTCAGTCTAACCTTAATCTCTTCTTCAATTTCGTTCTTTCTAGTTATCGTTGAGCCTAGATACCTAAATTTATCTACCTGTTCAAACATATTACCATCTATATCGATGTCACCAGTAGTATCGCCATTTTTGCAGCTAACCATATATTTTGTTTTATCCACGTTTAATTCGAATCCTAGTTCTTTCCCGGCTTTCATTAACGTTGTCGTATTTAGTTTTTTAGTTTCAACGTCTTGGCTTAACAGTACCAGATCATCA